GTGTGTGTGTGTGTGTGTGTGTGTGTGTGTGTGTGTGTGTGTGTGTGTGTGTGTGTGTGTGTGTGGGGGGGTCAGTTGAAAGATGCTGGTGTGCAATCACTGTGAAATACACCTAACACGATGATGAATAAATATAAAACACACACAGCTTGCCACACACACAACAGCACCTTTCAAACACCTTTGAGGGTGTTTTTTGTTATAATAAGAGAAGACAGAGCAGGAGGGGAGTGCTCCACATTTATATCAATATTTATATCTGATATTACCCCCCCTACATAAAACTACACACATGGTTTATTAGCCGTGTCATTTCACATCTCTGGCTTCTATCTTTATACCTTTTTGTAATGACTCGGCTGTTGATTTTATGAGTTTTTATCACTTTACGAGGGGGTTTTGAAAAGTGCTGCGTAAATAAAGATTATTATTCAATCCTGTTATGAATGAAGTATATGTACACACGTGTGTACATGTGCACACGTATTTACACAGTGAGGAAGAGGAGGAGGAGACGAGGAGGAGAGGAATTTGCTTATACTGTGATCTTTGATGTCTGTGTGTGTGTTTTCACAAGCTCAGATGCATGTCCATGGAGAACAAATTTGCCATGAGGGCATATCGGCTATCACACACAGCCGCTACTGGCACAGGTGTATAAACCTGCAGGCGCGCTGGTCCCTTTTGATAGACCCCCATCATCCCAGCAGTGCGAGATGAAATAGGGTGTTTTGACCAGTCTGGAGGAAAAAGAGGGCACATGGAGTGCGAAGGGAGGAGTGGCCGTGCCGGGCTGCGTGTGAGTGGAAACTGAAGCGGAGCAGTGATTTGTTCATTACTGAGATTAATAAATTCATAGGGGGAAAATAGTATTTTATTGCAGTGACATACTTTAGAAAGATGAAGTGAGAGATAGAGAGCAGTGTGCATGAGTTCAGTAATTTTAAGTCATTTTTCACATTTCCTCTCCCTTCTTCCACCTGGAGCCCTCGACACTTCTGCCTTCCAACATAAGCAGCTCCGCTTTATTTCTGGCTGTCAAAGCACGGCTCTGTTATTTTATTTTTTATTTTTTTACCTTTCATATCTGGACACATATTTCTATCATATTTTCCTGTTCTCTTCCTCACCCCCTTTCTTACTTTTATTCTTTTTTCCATTATGCGTTAACCATTATTTTCTTCTTTTTCTCATTTAACTCACATCTCACTTGGACAGAATTGAAGAAAAATAAAATGAACAAATAATCTTCTGACTTCCCTCAAGGACTACTGCCAACGTGCCCTTGAGCCAAGGCACCAACAGCAACCAAAAGGCTCCAGTGGAGCTGCCGAGGGGCCAACAGCAGGAAGCTGCGGTCTCACTGGGCTGCGCTCGGATCTGAATGTGGGAAACTGTGAATACTAAGTAGGGTGTTGCTGGAAAAGGGCATGTTCTTTCTGTTGACTTTTCTGGGTAAATAAAGGTTAAGAGCAGTAATAACCTTTTAAGAAAAAACAAACTCCAGATTTTTATCTCCCGCTTCATAACTCTTAATTCTTATGTCTCCTCATCTTCTCTTTTAATAAACAGCAAAGTGGAACAAAATCCTCTGATTTGAAGCAGACAGGGACTCACCAGGGCAGAACTACAATGGAAGAAGAGGCAGATATGATCTGAATGAAATATGTTTTCTCCACAGTGCAAAAGAGGAGAGGTATGAGGGAAAGGAGAGCGAGGAGGGAGAGGACACAGAGGAAATATAAAAGTGTAGCGTGAGGCAGTCGGGTCAACACTGGGAGTCTGAGGTTTTATCTGAGGCACTTGTCTGAATGCAGTGTTGAGAGATCCAAACAGAACACGTTTGTTTATTACTGATGAATGCTTTATGGTGCAAAGACATTTCTTATCGTAATACAAACAACATTTCACTTGTTTATAGCGCTTGGGCGCTCGTGTGTGTCTCTGTGTGTGTGTGTCTGTGTGTGTGTGCCTGCATGTGTGTTGAAAGACAAAGGAGTTTAGAAAGGAAGAACTAGCTTGTTGCTCTGTGTTCAAATGGGATAAAATAAGTTGGTGCTGGTGCAAATACACATAACAAAAGTTGACATTTACTAAATGACCATTGGAATTTGATGGACACACGGGACACAAATCTTGCAGAGACATTATATACACAGACTGTGGAGGTTTTGTGGTGTGCATGCAAAGTGTGTGTGGGTACTATTGTCGTAGGAATACATTGTTTTTGTGAATGTATGAACATTTGGTCAGTCAGCAATCATGGATTCTTCACAGCATCGGTCAGATCATGATTTCTCCTCCATCTCATTTTAAACACACAGGTCTGCACACACATCTATACATAGGTACATACACACATACTCACTCCCTTTCCCTGAAACCCTCCCTAACATACCACAGTGATTACCGCGTCTGTAGCTGTGATACGGTGAGACTGTATTTTTTCTTCAGCCCTCACATCACTGAAAAAGTATAGGACTGCAACAGCCTCACAATATATAGACGTGAACACAGATTGTACTGTATATATAATGTACCGTATGACTGCTTTCCAAAAGTGATGCCAAAGTGACTCAATCGCCCCCTGGTGGCTGGATTCAATATGGCTCCTAAATGCAGCCTCCTCAATGTTATTGGATGTGACATGGGCGAAACAAAAAACTAAAAGTACATGTCAAATAAATGTTTCTGTCATTTCAGGAAGTTCTTTTCACGTTGATGTTCCAGATTTTCTGTAATGTTGGTTTTAATTAGTTACTTTATTTGCTATAAGAGTGAAATGAAAGGTCATGATTGGCATCTGAGACTGACTCGTGAATAGGACCACACTACCACACCTCCGTCCCCTACTTGCTCTTGCGCAGACTGTGGCTACATATGTGAAAATGTAGGTGGTTCTCGTATCCGTAATAATTCTGCTTCATTTCTGTATAGTGGGAGATGTGTTGTCCATCTTTATCTACAGTTTACCGCCTTGAGGGAAAGAGTGACTGAAAAGAAATCAAGCTTTATGCAAATTAACTCATATAAAACAATAATGATAATGCATTTTTTTTCTTCTAATCTCAAGGTTAGAACTACTTTCATCACCCTGAAAACACTCAAGCGCTACTTACAAGGAAAATGGAGAAAGAAATTCATACATTCTTCCATTTGATTTCACATAAAGGTCTCCTACAGATAAGTACCCATGGCTTTCAGAGCTCTATTCACCAAATCCAACTATTGGCATTAGTGTGAACAGCTGATGCAAATGCGAAGCCTGTTCAGTGTCACCGATCCCTCAGTCAGATTAGCCAAGAATTACACCTACACGCATAACAGTGAAAAAAACCACCTAATGTTATTACTGATAACTTGAAGAGGATCACCACGAGATCTAAGCCATGAAATAGCTGAGTGATTCTTCTCTGTGCTGGAAGATATTTATTACAATGACCCGCTGACTACATTAATCTCTGACACCCTTTGCTGTGTTGCCAACTGGATGAGAAAGTGTCTCGTTCCTCATCTGCTCTCCCCTCGCTCCGTCCTCATGGTGGTTAACGGGCCATCTGAGCGAGTTCCAACAGAAACAGCCTGATTAAAAAGACATTCATCCTCTGCCCGGACACATCTCACACACTCTGAAACAGAAGTCCAATCAGTGCGCAGAAACTCATCCACCCATGCTGTCATACACCACATGTGTACGGACACACATATTTTTTGGTCTAGTGGGTCATATCAGATCAGGAGTACAGTAAGTGCATGTATTTATCCCTCCTGCAGTCACAAAAACACATACTGTGCATCAGGATACTAAACTATCTCTGTGTTTGTAGCAGCAGAGTACGACTGGTGTGTTTTCACCTCTGATAACCTGCATTTGACCTCCGACCTGTGCAAGCTGACCAGAAGGGGGGGGTTGGACTGATATGAGTGACTATTTGACACTAATGAGACAGCAGCCCTGATAAGATGGACGTGCTGTTTCGGGGAGAAAAGACTGATCCAGGAAATAAAGGCACAGACTGACGCTCTGGTGACAGCTGCATAGAGACGGCTTACACATGAAGACACAGATGTGGCGACATGATGCACACACACATGCATGGAAACAGAGAGGAAAGACTGTGTGAAAAAACTCTGCAGGAGCTGCTGCATCCCCATTTTCCTCCGTGCTCATGTGTTCCCACAGTGTTTGACTCAGCACATGGTTTCCATGCCAGAGTGCAGTCTGTAAAACGGGTAATGAATGAGGCAGGAAACTGCGCTGGACCCAGAACTCGCAGCCCATCCAGACTCATTCTAAACCATTCAGAACCATAGCTAGTGTTAACACACCTGATGGAGCCTGTGTGTTAAAAATTATCCCTTTTTTTCATTTTTCACACTCGTGGCTTCTTCTACGCAGTTGGCCATCCACTAACAGAGACACCACATACAGCTGAATGCTTCAAATACATACAGACACATATACAAACACACAAAGACACACCCACACATACATTCATATGCAGTGCATCTACATTGGCACTAAACAACCCTTCATTTGGGGACACATCCACACCTTGCCAGTTCATAAATCAGATGATAATTGAGTAGAACTGTGCCAATAATAAACAGAACAGTATAAACAACCAGTGTCTGGGCTCGATACACCACCTCCCACTGGCATGCTGCTGGCTGCCTGCCTGGCAAAAAAAATACACACACACACACACACACACACGCACGCACGCACGCACGCACGCACGCACGCACGCACGCACACACAGACTCATACACATGTAAAGACAGAAAGAAAAAAGTGCTTATAAATTGATTTTACAGACACATATGTGAAAACACACATCATTTAAGATGAGTATGATATGAGGAAAACACACATGACAGCACTCGTGATAGCAATGAAATGTGAAGAAGCTTCGCAGAAGTCAATCCAATAGAGAAGCTATATGTCTCCGGTCATATAAATCAGGAAACATATAAAATCTTGCATTGTGTTATTGCTGCAACAGGAATGAGGAATGTGATAGTTTGAGGTAAATGCATTGTGTGTTAACTGTCCCACTGGGATAGTCAAATCTGAGTTTTCTGGGAATCCAATCTGAGCCAAAACGCCCCAATTTCCAACTTAATACCTGGGGAAGTTTAGATCTGCTCAACAGTCATGGCAAGATGTCAAGAGTAATGGCTTTGGACGGTGTTGGTGGTATTATGATGGTACATTTCACATCCACATTAAGAACTACTTACCCAGGTCTGCAGACACTGACACACAGAGAAGAACAATAAGACATTAGGCCAAATGATTAAAAACGTCACTTGCATATACATGTGGGCCACAACATTCATTTCTACAGTGTGATTACATCAGGCACAAAGCATGACAACATGGAAGTGGTTTCAAGTACTGGGAGGACACAATCTCGACAGTTTATGTCTGGTGGATTACTCCTTTATAAATAGAGCACTTAGGAATGAATTGAGATCCCACAAAGATCCGGTCACTCTGTGGGACTCTGCTATCTGAGGACACCCAGATGGTGTCCTGTGATATATATGAATATGTCGCTGAATCCTTTGACCCTCACCTCTCAAGATCTGAGATTTTCCTCTCTTTGCATGATTTGTCCGTCTCAGCATCCCTCAGAGCGGCCATTAGCCTCTCCACCTCGGATTGTGACTTCCCAGACTCCTCTCTGTAACGGGCCACTTCCTGCTCCAGGAGTTTCAGACGATCCGTGATGTCCGGACACTTCCTGACGGCCTCTTCGGTGATCTGGGTTTTCTTTGGGGGGCGGAGATGATGGACATTAGATATTTAAAAAAAGGCATACTATACTGCATAAATTATGATTAAGACTGTATCAAAGAACATATATGTTGCTTTCAGACATGCACTGAACTCCACAGACCCTCTGTATTTGTTCTGGAGGATGTGCCAGTGTGAACACAAATGGACGTGAAAAAGATTTCAACAATTAAGATAAAATGTGTTTCAGAAATAAATGACCAACCCTACCGTCAACAATGAATTATTAAAAATAAGCACCATAATCACACATTAGACACATTTGTTTGCACGTGAGCTGCCCAGACAATATATATACAAATGACAAAATATGTCTGGAAATGACCATAAGGACAGAAAGGGCTGATGCGAGTTGAGCTGAGCATAACAAAGTGCAGCTCAGACTGATTAAAGTTGAGCAAAATCTGGCAACAGAGAACAGAGCCAGACAAACTGAGCTGGAGATGTCCTAAGATGGCCTCTGCACACACACACACACACACACACACACACACACACACACACACACACATAAAATGTCAAAGAGCATACCGTGGGGCTGACTGCTGGGAGCCCGTCAACTCTGGCTGGCACCTGGAAGTGAATACAACAACATATGACAGATGGAGAGTGAGCATATAGTGTAAGAACCATGTATTGTCGAGTAAATGATCTCAAACATCCCCTCGAAGTGAACGGTGGGACAGTCACACAGGGTCAGACGTGAGATCAAATCACATGAATAGCTTTACAACCTGAAGGAAAAGGTAAGTCACGCATATGTGGTGAGGGTCACAATCTAGCTGAAGCAGAACCAATCTGTACTCTCATCCGCTCTCATCCCTTCATCATCCCCCTCTTCTCCCTCTCCTCTGATGCCTGCTTTTCTGTGGTTTGCTTCTATCAGTTGCCTCCCCGGGGGCGTCCTTCATGTGGAGTTTTGAGTTCAGTCATTATCATTATAAAATTACTGTCTCCCTCTGTTTGGCTGCGATTTTATGAGACCACCAAACTTCGCAAATTTTTTTTTAAAAGTAAAAATAACCACATACACACTGATGAATTCTTTCTTCTCTGAGAAAAATATCCCAGAGGAAGTTTGTAACCTAGAATTATCTTGCTCTCTACTCCTGCCTCAGTCTCTTGGTCTTTACCTCTCTGTCTGCTGTGTTTGTGAAGATTGTTTAACTTGTTGAGACAACGGCGGCCACGTGTTTAAACATCATCAAGTGCGCACATGCACACACACACACACACACACACACACACACACACACACACACACACACACACACACTGGGTAATTTATTATCAGTTCTACATAAATCTGGGACAGTACAAGTAGCTCTACATGAGTGTGCCATTACAAAAGAAAAAAAGGAGTGTCTGTTAACTATTACATCTTGCCAGTTTGAACAAATGACTAATCGCAAAGCTAACAAATAAACTCAAAAATAATACAAATGATTGATATATATCTTTACATACGAGCATGCATTATGAGGTAGCTTAACATCTGTAAATGTGTAAAATATGAGTCATGGATTGCTTTATTGTGGATTCTTCCATGTGTTCTGCTCACACATTTGTGGATGCAAACTATGCTCTGGTGGAGCAGGAGAGTACTTTTAAAATGTGACTATAATCTCCATAAACAGATTCTGCACGTGAATGTGCAGAATCTGTAGGCGAGGGACAAGATTTTGGGACTTCTGGTTTCCACAGTCCTTGTGAAGAGTAAAAGAGGTGGAACAAATTGACTGAAATAAATCGGCTAAGTGCTTTTTATATTAAATTCGCCAACATGCCGTCTGGAACTAAAACACTTAATTCTCTTTTGTGTGGAGAAACAATTGACCCATGTGGACTGTAAAGGATTTACGGTAAATGGAAGATATCCTCCCCGCTTTCTGGAGGCCCAAAATAATGGCTGTTGCCCCCAGAGGCTAATTCACCCCCAGACGATGGCAGTTTGGCTTTGAGATCAGTACGACTATAACCTGTCTACAATATATACGTGCCAGCATATGACCTTAAAGAGCCCCCGACGCTCGACACTGTTCATGTACCCATGTGCACATTGCTGCACAAAATCCTGAGAAAAGTGGAGGGGGGGGGGGAGGCAAGCAGAATCATTGTTGACCTCGTGCTCACCCCATTACCTCCACACCTAACCCCACACACTCATCCACACACATCAAGCCCAATCTCAGAGAGCCCAAAATGCATTAGTCCTAAGTGGGACAGAGTTTGTTATGTTCTTACAGTGGGAAACACACACACACACACACACACACATGGGCAGAACGCAGAGGCTGCAAGGACGGCGGGTTCAGCAGGAATTTGTGATATTATGACAGGAGGGGGAAGGCCAGTAAAGATACGGTTACATATATGGTCAGAGAAATTATTATTATCATTCCTGGGAATTTCTCTGAAGTGTAAATATTACAAATAAGTTAAATATGTGTGGCCACCAGACTCTGCATTGGATTATTTAACTACTGGTCAGAGAAAACCCAGCAATGCTGAGGCCGGGTAGTCTTTACAAAAACACCATTCACCTCTAAAGGTGTATTCTGTTGCTGGATGTCTTAGACATGACTGAATTCAATCTCATTGACTCTGTCAGTGCAAAAATCAATGATTTGATGAGTCTGATTCTTCTTTTCTTTGTATTATTTTTAAAAAGAAGGTAAGGGAATGGTGAAAAAGAAAAAGGCAACAAAAAAGAAAGACATAAAAAGATAAAAAAAAACTGGTTTCAAAAGACCAAACTGTCTTTTGAATAGAACTCAGAAGTCATTTGAGGTGTGGAGCGTCCTCGCCACTCTAAACTAACCCTCTCTGGAAAAGGTCACTGTCTTCCCTGAGGTTCTTGACTGTTCTTCTCTTTGAAGAGCTGGTGTTTAGTTCCAGACGTCCTTTATTAACCCTCGGAATCAACAAATACTGTTTTATGGGAAGAGGATGATGATGCAGTGGTGCTCTGGGGTCAAGATAAAAAGCTCTACTAACAGCTTGACTGAGTCAGTAATACAAACATCTGCAGATACAGTGAGAGGGCCACTGTGTGTACAAGGCCTGATGGCAAACACAACCTCCACATCTGCCTGAGAGGTAAATGGCAACATATCAGGGTTGTCAGGCAAAATGCTTTATGTTTTTTTGGGGGGAGGAGTACTTTTGATTAAAGTTTAATGAAAGAATTTCTCACACATCTGTGAGGCCTGTTTTGGAGGTTAAAAAAGGAGTGTTTTTCTCAAACCCTGAAAGTGGTTGTGTCCGAAATCTCCCACTCAACTCACGACCCCCTACTCACTATGTAGGGACTTCTACGTAGAGGACCATATAGTGATGTGAGCTCATCGGCAGAAGAATAAAACACTTTCTTTGATTCATTTTCTTTGCACTGGTAATTTTATATACAACGTCAATGTCGGCCACAATTTATTTAAAATATTGTATTTTAAGTTATTTTACAAAAAAAAAACCACGTTAAATGACCACATTAAATGTAGAAATAAATGTGTTTGCCACAATTTGTGCCGTGATGCTCTGCTCTGATCATTATTTACATTTGTACGACAGGTTGGGCTGTTGCTCCCCTCTCTCAGTCTGTTCAATGTTTTTTAAATTTTAAATGTGATAAACCTTTAATAGAAAGTTTTGAATGAATCTGAAAGTTTCTTTTGTTACTGGCTTTTAAATGTTAATATAAATTAATAACATATCTATGAATATGATCCTTTAAAAAAACTAAGGTGATATTTTCAAAGGGAAATACAAGTGTCCCAGATTACAAAGTGACCTGTCCCAGATTGTCCATTTTTTGGCACAAAGAACAGCAAACGCTGTGTCATGTCTCCTCTGAGTAAGATATCTTCATTCTTTCTTCTGGTGTGGTTAGAAAAAATCTTAACGATTAAAGAGAATTCTAATATGTTGTAATATGTCTAATGTGTAAAATAGAAATCGGGATGAGAAGTAGAAGTCAAAATTGCAAAATAATGTCCTAGATTACCTAAATTCACCCTAACAAGAAGAATTCAGCTAATTTGCTTGACAATTCTTCATTTTAATATCGAGCACATTTTGCTGCATAGTTTCTGTATGAATCATTGTCTTTAAAAAAAACTTCCCCTTTGTACTGTTACACCACAATTACATCACATTCATTTCAGAGACACTTTTGTCCAAAGCAATTTACAGTATGTGCATTCATACTTGATAGGCCCATACCTCAAGAAGGAAAAGAAAAAATGTGTCCAGGACCACAGTACATGCTACGGTTGCTGAAGTTTTTCTTTTTATGTTTGTTTTTGTTTTTGTTATTTCCAGAAATGTAAGGAAGTGCTTGTGTGCGGTGCAGAGGTATAATCTGAAAGCATGGGATTTCATCCTGTGGTGGAAGATGAACTGTATGTCTGCATTCCTGACTATGGCTGGCAGTTCATTCCACCACCTTGATCGAGATGAGGGACCACAGGGCCTTCAAAGTGACGACGCAGCAAATCGCCAGGAGGCCAAGGGTAGCTGGGGTGAGGCTTGACCATAGCTTGGAACTGTCTTTTCATTTGTATGATATGTTTGTCAATTGAGTTGTATTTGTGCCGGATTCCCGTCACCTTGGATTGTGGCTTTAGCTGTGCATAACGTACTGGAGTTTGGAATCTGACTGTTAATGCAGTATTAACAAGACATGCAGCAGTATCAGATTGGGTCACTAGGGAATTTAAGCAGCGGTCACTTTAAGCTCTGCTGCGACTGGAAGTAGTTATCTGTTCTTTTTCCTCCCTCAGAGGAGGTTACGTTTTCACTCCTGTCCATTTTGGTTGGTTTGTTTTTAGCAAGATTACATAAATACTACCAGGCGGATTACCACGAAACTTGGTAAATAGGTGTTCTCAATATTTTCACAATTTTCTCACGGGAAAATGAATGGATCTTGACGAATAAAATCATGCTTGTTTAGAGGACTGATTTTTATGTTTTACTTTAATGTATCACTCTATGACCGTAGGAGGTAAGGTGAGAAGTGTTTGCAAATGTATCAGTTCAAATTACATTTTATAGCTAAATCAGCTACTATTCAATCAGCTATTTAAGTTTAGTTAAACTCGGTCACAACAGCTCTCATCCCTTCTTTGCCTATGACTTTGTCATCTAAAGCCATAAGCAGTTCTTCCTTGACAGATTTGAGCATTATCGTCTGCTAAAACTTAGATTTGCTTCCTGTCTGGTTAAGCTCCTCACCTTAACAGGAGAAATGTATTGATCCATGTCTGGTCACCATAAAATACCTTGAAAGCAGTTTGTGCTTAAACTCGCTATTTGCTGGCTGACGACTGTGAGTGTTGAGTCACTTTGATCAGAATCTATCTCAGGCAGAAAATCATTTGACCTCCAACCTGCTGAGCACTACAACCTGTCACAATCCACTGCACTACAAACACACTTAAACACATGGCGACACTCACACGTCTTCAAGCTTCAACAGTCGTTTTTGTGCTAGCACAGGTGTAGAGCGGGAAACATGTGTACGCACACATACATAATCAAAGACATGAGCCCGCAATTATCAACTGTCTTCCTGGAGAATTTGTAGATTTACATAACAGGTCTGATTGCGGCCGAGTAAACAGAGCAGCCAAACTATGGCAACACTTCTGTCATAGTGTGAAGCTGCTCACTACAAAGAGTTTCTGAGCTGCCGTTCCTTTCATGTGGTTCCGCGTCAATGATCAACAAGATATCATTTCACAGGAATGAAACATGTGTGTGTGTGTGGGTGTGTGTTTGTGTGTGTGTGCGCTTTTTGTGAGTATAAAAGAAAACATTCTCATAAATTCTGGCAGGGCGAAGGTCTGTCCTGGCTTGTAAGCCTGGGAGAGGAAAAAGAAAAAGACAGCAAGGCCTCTGACTTGGCACCTGAGCTGGGATGGAGGGATCTTTTACGTCCATAAATCACTCTCTCTTAATTCATCCCTTCACCCCGCGGGACAAAGTACAGGCAGGCCCTGTGCTAGGGGGGTTGCTAACAGTATTGTGGATGCTCACCGGGAGGTAAGAGAGTGGAATTACTATTGCTATAGATGTAAGAAGTGTAAATACAGGGTACAAGTAGCATATTACAACCACTGTGGAGTGCTTGTAAAACTTAATTCTTTTTCTACAATAAAAAAAATATTTTAAAGCTTTGTGATGTTTGGGAAAAATGTTTTGTATATTTCAGATAAAAAAGTATTTTTGGGGGGAAGATTGTAGTATAGAATAACACAAAATACATCCTCACACACCTCTTTGATATCTACTCAACATCCCTGCTTACGATACTGTTACTGCATCAGAACATTCCACACTGACCTCTCCATCAGATCTCTGGTTTTGGGTCAGACTGGGGTTTGTGGTCTGGCTCTGTGACAGTTTTGGAGGCTGCAGGGCCAGGAGTTTGTCCTTTAACTCCTGGTTCTCCCTCCTCATCTTCTCCAACTCCTCCAGCCGGACCCTGTCCTCCCGCTCTTTCTGCTCCCGGAGGCTCTCAATCACCCGTTCCTGAGATAGTAAAAGAACATGGAAAAAGAGAGTTTGGCGAGAAGCATGATTAAGAATACAGTAAAGGCCTTGATAGCTATTATGTACGTAAAGGCTTGTCCACATTCATGAAATGATATAAAATGGAACTTGTTCAGCTTCCAACGTGCAACAGATTGTCAGCCCTGTGTGATTACAGTTCCTCCCTATCATTATTGAAAAATTTGGGACAGTCTCTTGCTGAATAGGCTCAACGTCATGCTTTGCAAAGTGCAGCCAAAGACAAACTCATAAATGCCTGTCATAAATAATATATAACATTATGCAGATATACATATAGATATAATGTGCCAACTTTAATAAATAACAATGGGACACAAGGAGGTCAGAGCCAAGTCGAAGAGAGAGAGAAGGAATGGAAGGGTTAAGGGGACAGAGACAGATTTATTGATAGTGGATTGGACACCACTGTAGATCACTTCCCAACAACTCCACGTTGTCTTCTGATAAACCAAGCTGGAATGTTTGCATCGTAATTTTCTCTAGTCTGTGATCCCAGAGACAGCAGGAGAACCATGGCTCTGGGCATTGGCCGGAGACCAGGTCCACACCATGGGTGGCGGAGCATCCAAGGTGTGTGTAGTAGATGTGTGAGTTAAGATGTATGTGTGTGCGTTAAGGTGTGGACTGAAGTGATTATCAAGGTGTTTATTCAGGTGTTTATTTAGGCGCACAGTACAGCTCAGCAACAAGGCTTTACGATGTGGCATCGCTGCATGATTGGCAGCTATAAACCCCTGGGTTATTGGACAAATACAACCACTAACTAGACCTGGCACAGTAACACACTGCATAGTGGGCTTGGAAAAGAGGGCAAGAGAGAGAGAGAGAGAGAGAGAGAGAGAGAGAGAGAGAGAAAAGAGGGGGTGAGAGACCACGTGGCTAATAGGTCCTGGGTGTTTTCCCCACGTTATGAAATATCTCGAGGATGTTTGGGGTTTAGGGAATGAGAGCAGAATGTGATAATAAAACCTGCCTCTATAAGGCTTAAGTGTGGAGCACACGTAAACTCCCCAGAAAACACACATATAACATCACAGTCAGGCACGCACACACACATGCATATGTAAACACACCAAAGAGCAGAGCTCGGCACGGGCACAATGCCCCAGCCTGTTAATTAGAACCACAGCACTGTGTGGCTAGCGACTGGCTCCAAGAGCAGGTTTGTGACAGGGTGTGTGATTAGCAACACACACACTCGCTCTTGTAAACACATTACACACACCCTGCGTTGACCACAATGTCTGAAAAGCTCGCCAACGTTCTCTTCATCACCAGCAGAATTATATGAAGCCAGCATCAGAAGTGGTTTCTGGGTAAACAAACAGGCCGACACACAAAAAGAGATTTACAGTTTATTGAGCCATTAGGCTATTGTTTTCAAAGTCTGTCAGCAACAAAACAAATTTAGATCAATTTAAATTAAAAAAATTCTTCGTAGTGTGTCAGTCATGATGTAAACACACGAACACAAATCAGCCAACATCTCTTCTATTAATAGAATGATGTGAGCACCATTCTTGATTGGATGGATATTTATTCAGTGTAATTCAATGAAATGAAATCCAACACAACCACAAGTAAATAATAGCCTAAGAAGGCAACGAAATATACACAGATGCAGCGGTAAAGTACTCCTCATAAGGAGGCGTTGTTGGTTGACTCAGCACCGAGATTGTATCTGTATAGTTGCAATTCTCATTGCTAAATGTGCCTCTAAGAGATACTGTGTTGCTTCGTGGAGCAACTTCATCAGACTCTTTCTGTTTTCCTCACGTTAGTTGAGTAGCGCACCTTGGTGAGAGCAGACGCATGCAAATAACTTCTTCCTTTTCACATCTCCTTTTTGCACCTCCACTCATGAGTAACTTTAGTTTACATCTGGTTTTCCATTTTATTCATGTGCGACCAAGAGAGGTTGAGTTTTGGTCTTTCCCTCCATTCTCTATGCTTTCAAAACAGCTTCAAATGAAACACTCTGACCCAAACCGTTACAAACTGGTTTTCAAATGCTACATGCATGATTTCTATGCACCATAGTCACATTCTGTCAGGAGGGTCCACAGAATATTTTCCTTCCTTCCCTAAACTGAAAACACACCTGACCCATCACTAAACCTATTGTTACAAACAGGAATATGCAATAACAAATGCAAAGGCATAAAAAAAAAAGTACACATATGCGGTGTGTGTACATTGGACCACATGAAACTGGGGCAGCCCTGTTTCCAGCCCAGTATTGTTGGACATGCACATCTGTCCAAAGAGGGAACTCTCCAAACTCCTAACCAGCAGCCAGTGCCAACAAAATGTAAACCAGCATCCATCTTTTAGCCTCCAGTACAAACAAACATGTAAATGGGAACCATTTTTAGCCTGCACTGCAATCATTTTTTAGACTGCAGTACCAACAATGTGTGCTAGCAACAACTTTGAACATGCAACAAAGCTAAGCAAGATGGAGCCACTCTGAAATCATGCCAGTCAGTTCAAGGTACCGTGTGTACACTTCCAGACTTGGGTTTGACATCTCCACGGTCACGGTCAGTACAGTGCAACATCAAATCCGTCCTGCGCTCGAGCCTGTCTTCAATTAGAAATCGCTGGCACCCTGTAACCATGAGTGCAAATCCATAAACACATCGCCAAAGGCTTGTGTAGAAGAGGGAGAAAAAAAAAAGGGAAAAAAACACCATCATTCAAAGCAAGAATTTGCGTCAGCATTCCAGCTTCTCGAAAGTAACTTACTTCCTCAGGAATACAGTAAAATCGACAGGGTTTTTATTGGGTTAATGACCTGTGCGATTAAATGTGGTGCATTTTTTCCTGAAAACAAAACACCAAACTGGCCAGCAGGGATATTCATCTTTCAGTGTTTGTGGCGGCATGCTATAGCTCAGTAGTGTGGAGGTGAGGCTTTATGGAGACCAGCTGCTCTCTCACGTTGCCAGAAAACAACAAACACTGAATGTTTACGACCAACATCCAGTCAATTCACTCACCCATCCGCCCATGTGGAGTAAGTCTTACTTCAACTTGAACCACAGACTTGTTTAGCTCTATGGTTTTTCTCTGCAGTGCATCTTTTTATGCGTAAAAGCACATACAGACCTGTGTGTCTACCTGCTGAGTATTAGACCAGCAAATCCAAAAATAAAGTATGGAATTAAATCCAGTTGATAAAGACGGAGTAACAAACTTAATATTATCAAAATAATTTTGGACTAGAACTGTACATATCCCTCTGAGAAGTAATGTCACCTTGTATCTGCATTATCTCTCTCATTATTTGACAGTTGCTTCATTTTTTCCAATATAAGTTTGTGGCTGAATTGAATTTCAATCCGTTTGTGTCTTTGTAAATGTATTTCTCTCTCCAGCTCTGTTTTTTCTCTTCCTCTTTCATATGCCTTAGCAGAAGTCGCTCATTTTTTTACTCTGTCTCCACCCTTGCATTCCTTGACCTCTGCCCCCCTAATTCTGAGGCCACCTCTTCCATCAGAGCTGTGCCTCTTCTGCCATTCGGCTTTTCCATTCTTCCATCCCTCCCCCTTTTAAAAACTTCTGTCCTCCTCTTATTCTATAGATCATTCCCTCCCTATGTTCAGCGCAGCTACAGACAGGGACTAATCCTCTGTCTGTGTTCACCTTAGACCTCCCCTCTTCCTGTGCCTCCATCTCCCCCATACTGTTTTTTCAGTCGGGACCTCATCTAGTGTGGTCCAAGGTCTATAAATTAGAGGGCTGAGTCTGTGAATTATGGCAGTGAGTCATAGCAAAGAATGGAACTTAATTAAGCTGTACGCCGTAGACCAGCTTCCTGAAAGACAAGTGTGCCCCAATGCGTAAAAATTTCCATACCTTTCCAGGCCAAGTGGTGGTCTAATGGTTTCACTTTGTGAGTTTTTATTGTCAACATCTGACAAACAAGTTTCAGCCTCTCCATCAACAGCATTGCCCCCCCCATCCCTCACTTTGTTCTGTACCTTTTCTGATAAAGCCTCCTCCAGTGTGGTCAGGGCTGTGTCTGTGTTACTGGAGTCAGTCTGCAGGCCCTGGACCCTTTCCCTCAACCCAGCCAGCTGTTTGTCTTTATCCTTTAACTGCTCCAGCAGGTTCTCAATCTGGAGAAAGAAGGACAAGATTAGCAGCATATTGATGTGAAACAAGCACAAAACAATCCTAAAGAGTAAAAGAATCACAGAGTGCCACAAACACAAATTATTCCATTGGCCACTGATTCATCGAGAAGATGAACCTAGACCAAGAATAGTGCGCTCAGCCTCTGGCGGCATTCTCCAATTTCCTGCTGTAATGTCTTCCACTCTGGCCGGGCATCTTGAAGATGAGTAGCAATGAAAGCCTCCACTGTATGACTCGGGTAAAGACAATTATGGATGGATTCATGAGGAAAGAAGAAGTTAATTCTTCTTCTAAGTCAAAAGCTTGGTGGCAGGGTGTAAACAACCAAGCCTCTGAGGAAGACGCATGAGGCAGGGGTGCATCTTCCCTTTGGTTTCTATCAGCTGTGACAGCTTTGTTCCTTTGTTTGTTGTTTACTTGCTTTTTTTAATAATCACAATTAGCACAAGCTTTCAAGACTGTCTCCAGTAATATCCTGTACAGTGTCACTTTTTTCTCCTGTTGTGTTTTTAAGATCAAAATTAAGACAGATTTCTCAAGCATGAAGAGAATTTTAGTTCAAATGCTTGTTTTACCCACAGCTGCAGTTTAAACACTGGACAGTCTGTGAAAGACAGTGGTAAACTGTGACAGCGTCCTCCCACAAAGTGCAAAGCAAGTGTCTTTGCTGATTTCAGACCGACGCATATTCACATCCAGTGCCCATGTTGCAGCGAACGCCCATGCTCCCCATAAGTGCCCATGGGCATGTTGGTCGTAAAGGAGGTTTGCTCAGGTGTATTGCTATCTTGAGGCAGTGGAGAGTGATTGCACCAAGTTTGAGACTAAGCACAAACCTTTTCTCTGACGTTAAATTGGCAGAAGTGGATTTGGACATGCTCTGAGTGCACTTGCACCGTGGCCCTTAATCCGTGTGCAGAGATCATTAAATGAGAGCTCTGTTTCTCTGCATCTGCCTTTCTGTGGCTAACCTCATGTCGCTGAAGTGGTGGTGTAATAGCCAGTTGTGGTGTTCAACAACCTTTATCTGATGATCATTTGCAAAACAGAACACAAACGTACGCAAAGACAAATACCCAGGCTCACAAGGACACACAATAACACACACACAAAAACACAAAAGCCCCAAGCTGTACCAAGCAAAACACTAGCAGATGGAGCTGGGATAGAACTTGGTGCAATGCAATGAAACTCTAGGAGTTAAAATAAAGATATTGTCTTTTTTAAGCACACAACCGCTTATTTCTCTTAAATTTCAGTAACAAATTTGTTTAGAGAGCACTCCCATGTTCAGGTGTGTCTCGGGCTGGTCACAATAAAAGGCCAATACAAGACATCAAATTTACATCAAACGTTACATAGTCACAGATGTTGTTAGCCGTGAGGGAGCGTGCAGTCAAATCAAACCAAATCAAATTTTATTTGTATGGCCCATATTCACAAATTATAAGTTGCCTCATAAGTTTTAAAAATTGTGCAACATCCTTTTTCCTGAACCTTTGACAGACAGAAGTGCAATTCCAATTTTGGTGGAAAGTTTGACAGCATTGCGATCCGTCCAGATGTCCATCGACCACGTGTCACCATGAAAATACTGGACATACCAGATACTGGATCGAGACACCGTTAAACTGTTGCTCGATTATCTGTATCTTTGCTCCACATCAAAAAAGCTGTTTTGTTCATTGAACCCTGAAGTTTCAGATTTCTACATATTGCATTAATACCTTTGTCAAGTGTACTTACAATGGGACAACACAACTGGTGACAGGACTCACTGACAAGGTGACCTGCTTGTGTCTTATCATAACCACCATAAACAAACTGTATATTCCTTTCAATGATGAATTAAAATAATATTGATTTTAAAAAAGCGTAATTTGAAAAGTTCACAGACCCGCTGCTTTTCCTGCGCACCAGCACAAAGCACTTCCTCAGACTTTCTCAGTGGTTTTTCCACAAACAGACAAAGCACCATTCACTCACGGCTGTGAAACATTAATACCATATTTGACCCAACTGGTCTTTTCTCAGATCAGGGATTGTGCTGTGCAAAGGAGAGACATATGCACTGAAGAATTCATTATTTAATGAACATGAGAATCCAATAAAAACAAGGAAAGCACTTCAGGCAATCAAGAGACCACATTTTAACTGAAATGGTGACGGGGGTAAAAAAAAAAAGTCCAATGGGGAGAATAAGCTACATTCCAGTCATGGGTACATAGATAGATAATGTCCAAATCTCCACAGCTATTTCACAAATGAATCCAATTAGACTGTAGACTTTGGTGTTCTCTGCTCCCGGAGGGCAAGAACAAGGACTTAAAGGAGACATCTTGGTTTTTAGAAATGGAGGGAAAGCAGCAGGAGGGGGTGGGAAAAAAGCAGCCGGCACCCTACGGCAGATCTTGATAGGTTAATGACAGTCATTACACAACCAAGCTGAAGGCTCTGATTGGTCGGCGCACAAGCGATAGAGGGACATTAAACCCTTCAGGGAATGATGGGAAAGCTTCACACTACCAAAGTCAGATAAAATTCCCAGCAGTTCATTATGGCCATGGGTGTGTGAGATGGAGTTTTAGGGCAGAGACTGTGAGAGGAACTGAAAGAGGCGAGGGTTATACGGGCTTCTTGATTTATTCTCTTATGTTTCTTTTAGTTGAAGTAAGTGGGCTGATGACTTATTTTCCCAGGGCAGTGGGCACTTGAAGGCTAAAGCTATAAAACATTCACCATCTCCACATCATCAAGCACGAGTGAAACTCCCGCAGAATACACAAGGCGGACGCTGCACCATGCTTATCTCAACATACAGTAAACACAGAAGGAAGTACAAACAAATATCGGTTAGCAGCTCTGCAGCTTGTCATACTTTGTTTTTCTAAATACGCACCAAATCATGTACGTTTGTGCTCATGCATATCCTCTTGCTCCCTGTCCCCGTGGGCACCACAGAGCCCTGTTTCAGGTCAGATTGAGCACGTCGCCTCTGGTCTTAGATAAATGATTACATTCTTCACCAGGCCCAAGTTTGCTTTGGCCTGCTTGTGCAAAATAACAACCACTAGATGAAATATTTAGCTCCGCCGCTCGGCCTTCTGTGAAATTGTGCAGAGAAAACACAACGTTAAACCTCGTAGCTGGTGGGTGAGAATGAGTCACGTGAGACAAGGATATGGGAAAGAGGGCGAGGAATTCTGTCAGAATTCTCAAAGTAAAAACATACTCTCAGAAGAGAAATGCCTTTTGTGGACAGGCGAGGCACGGGGCAGCTGCACGTCTTTTCTTTTTCTTTTTTTTTCCTTGAAAGCGAGGGGGCCTTCCCCTCCAGTAGCTTGGTTGTTATGATGAGGACAGTCATTCATTTTATCTTTCAGTGCATGAGGCTAGCTCAAACTACCCTCCTGCGTCTCTCCATTTCTCTCACACACACTCGTATACACACACACACACACACACACACACAGAAGCTTTTATCATTAAACCGCTGTGTATATGTCATCCCACTCTGCAACCACACACACCTCCCACTGAAGCAGACCACCTACGATAGGCAGCTACCATGACTCTATGGGCCAGGCACTGCGGTGTGTGGACTGCCTGTCTCAGTGAGTGTGTATCCTCTGGAGAAATGATGACATCGGCCTCAGTCATCTCCCACACATGTGGCTCCCCCCTGTTTACAACCACGCTGTTTTGACTCTGATAACTTTATCAACCAGCTGATAGGATGGGACCAGGTTCTCCTGAAATTTGGGAGTGTTGATGCACAGTTACCTTCCACTGACCTTGACTTGACTGTTGCATCTAAAAAAACAGTAATGTTTAAAATTTTAGAGGCTTTGGGTTGTAGAGATTTCATGACTGGTGATTTTTAAACATTACAAGCTTTGAGCATTCAGATGAGAGGTGGTGCAGCAAGCAGGAGGCAGGAAAGCTGAAAGTCCACAGAAAGTCCCGTCGACTCTCACTCAGACATTTGCGTTCACACATTCAACCCCTTTGGAGAATGTCAGTGCATGTCTGACAGCAGCTTAACCAAGTAGTCATCATAGGCATAATTGTGGTACAACATTAAAAGAGGTACTGAAGGGGCATTACAACTATGATTTTTGAAATCATTGTAGTACTGATACAAATATTGTACATGTAAAACTATGGTAACAAAATTGGATTACAATGAAGCTTTTATAATTTGTTGGTGAAACCAGGGGAGAAATTGAGCAGTATATTGGTGGAACAAAACTTTATTTCTGAAATGAGATGAATGAAAAATATTTAAAGTGAAGTAGAGGGATGTCAAAAGCTGGCATGCATTCATGTCAGGTTAAGAAGTTAATAGCTGCTAACAAAACAATTTCCCATCTCTGTTCAGTGGGCTTACGAACTCAATGATGAGCCTTGCTGTTGCCTTTTGGTCAAAAGTCTGTTTTGTATGATCGTGATTGGGACAAGCTGAGCTCTAACACAGTGGGAGAGGACTGGTATCAGGCCCTGTGTCCCTCCAACGAAAAATGGTGATCTAAAAACGACTTGTTCAGCAGCAGAACCACAAACCCGGCCGACCCGTCAGTCTTCCATCCAAACTAAGACCCAGAACTCTGTGGCCCCGAGAAGAATAATTTCTGCAGAACACAAAAGGAGACCAGCGTGGTGCATGACCACCATAAAAATACAATCATTTGTATTTTTAAAACACTTTTGGAACAATAAAAATACCCAAACATCTTTCTCTTTCTGAAAGGCAACTCGTTACTCTGCGCTTGTCATCGCCTCTGAAAATATGACAGTTGTAAAAACCAAAGATCCTGGCACTGACACGCATGTGCATGCGCGTGTGTGTACACACACACACACACACACACACAGAGAGAGAGAGAGAGCCACACAGTGGGACATTAACCACAAACTGAACAATGTGTTGTAACATAGTGTGTTCTTCCCCAGAGAAATCTAGGTCACAGTCAAACAGAAA